GGGGGGGGGGGGGGGGGCGTGTGCACGGAGGACGCATGTGCACTTGGCTAGGGAGTTTTACTCGTTTGGCCTATGCCCGGGGTCAGTTGATCCGTTTTCCTGGGTCCCAGCCCTGATGCCACAGTCTTTGGTTTTTTTCAGAACTCTTGCGTTGCTTGATTATATCGTAGTTGCTCTAGAACCTCGTGTCAGGAAGGTTGTATGTGTTCTGCACGAAATGAAACTCATTGCCTTGCAGCTGAGAATTTTTTGGGCTTTGAGGTGTTTGATGCTGTGTTCAAGAGTTTCCGAGTCTCCGTTCCTTCGTCCCCGGCATGTTTCTTCCTGTTTTTTTTGTGCTTTCTGGCATCTCGATCATTACGAGGCCCTTGTACGTGCCGAAGCTGTTTCATGGCTCTGAAAAACATGTGCAGCTTTAGCTTTTACAGGCTGTGGCTTTCAGTCGTCAGTGTTGAACTTCTGGAACTGTTCACAATGTGCCTTTGAGCCGCAATCTTTCGAACCAGGTCCTTCCATGCACCCAGATCTCGAAAATGGCAAGTTACATTGAACAGCAGGTAGGATACCACCTAAGCACCCAACTTTAGCAGCCCCAGAGCTTTCAACATGAAACGCAAGCCACGGATCATACCACATGCGTGGAGCAAAGGGTCTTGTATGATGGTGACTGAGCTTGCTTGCGTTCGTTCCCGTCTTCATGTGCCTTGTACGTACCAGGCCGATCTCTTTGGCGGCAGAATAGTTTGACCCAGCATCCGCCGCACCACACTTTTCTCTGAATCTTGAGCACGTTGCTAGGGCATGAGGTGTGCGATTCCGAGGTGGGTGCCAGGCAAGGGTATGCAAGGGTTACCGGCGGATAAAGCGATGTCAGGATCTGTTGAGCCTAGCCGATGTGCATGCGAGCTGTTGGCTTACCTTCCAAGCCGAGGCAAGCCTCTGGCAGATGCAGTTTTTGGTGGAGACACGAGCCACCTAATCCAGCCGGCTCCTGAGCATTTTGCTCGAGCACCTACTTGGATTCGGGAAGCCCCTAAACTCGGGAACCCTCTAAACCCTGAAGCAACGTCTTGCCGTACCCTGAGGCCACACCTGCTCCAGAATCCGATGGTGCCTGGGCTCACAATCGTCGGAAAGAAGAGCTTTTGCAAGTCTGCTTCGAGCTGCGATGTCAAACCCACGTCGTGTCGAACCCTGAACCCTGAACCCTAAACCCTAAACCCCAGTATCTGCGTAGCAACTCTGCAAAAACATCGCGTGCCCCTGAGCAATGCCCGAGACTCCAAGGCTCATGGTGTAGGGTTTGTGTAGGGTTTAGGGGTTTCGGGGTTTAGGGGTTTAGGGTTCAGGAGTTTAGGGTTTAGGGGTTTAGGGTTTAGGGTTCGGGGGCTTAGGGTTTCAAGTTTAGGGTTAGGCTCCCAGACTTCGCCGAAACCCTGTAGCTGAAATCGTTTCCGCGGCGGTCTTGCGAAAGTTTCGACGGAAGCAGCGAGAAGCATCCGGAAGTAGCCTGTGCGAAAGGCTCCTTCTGAGACTTCTCCCCGCAGTAGCATTTGGCCCAGTTCGATCTCGAACTGGCCGCGACATCAATTCCAAGTTCAAAGACTGCTTGCAGTGTCGAGTTTCCAAGGCTCATGGACCAGGCCAACCTACAGGAGCTGTGCTTTGCTGTGCATGGCAGTGCATAGCAGGAAGCAGGCAGGCAGGTTTTTCCCCTCTCTTCTGGCAGGCGAGCAAGACTTCTCCTTACCTCTGTCCTCCTTCGGAGGCTCTTCGGTTTTTGCGTTTTTGGCAGCTGAGCTCCGATGAAGAGCATCTGTGTGGCAGGGAAGTTGCCGGACTTTCACAGCGAGGCAACCGGTCAGCCAGTCCCTGGTCTCGCAGCTATTGCCTGTTTCGTGAGTCTTGTGTTCCTGGTGCAGCTGCTGCTGCCTGAAGCCCGATTGAGGTCTCAACGAGACTGTGCGCTTTGCCGGGGAGTTCAAAGCCATTATTGGGGACAATGTCCAGCAATTTCTGCAAGAGTGCTCCGAAAAGCTCAAGCCGGTGAGCTGCAAAGACGCGCAGCCCGGCTCGGTGCTCGTCACGCTGTCGGCGGCCAACTGGGCAGATCTTCACACCGCGGATGCCCTCATTGACCAGGGTGGCTTCGAACTGCCCAGCTTTGGCAAGTTCGAGAAGGAGCAGGACACTACCTAGAAAAGGTATACCCAGGGGTACCCTAAGCCCTAAACCCTAAACCCCAAACCCCTGGGGTCGTCTGAGTCATTGCGCCAGTCCCAGTCCTCAGAGATGTGACAAACTCGCACAGGAGACTTCCAAGGCTGGGCCGAAATCGGTTTCTTGGCTTCAATCGGGGCTTACCGAAGCCCTAACCGCCACCCTTAAACTTAAGTCTTAACCTCTGAGAATGGCTTGATACCCCTAAACCCTAAACCTACGAAAGAATGGCTTGAATCTCTTTGAGTTGCCGAGGCGAAGGAGGCGTTCGACGCTGCCGAAGCTACGCTCCACTTACTCCGCGGGCTGTGTTTTGGGTACCCCTAGGTTTAGGGTTTAGAGTTTAGGGTTTAGGGTCTGGAGTAACACGAGTGACAAGGGCACAATACAAATGGGCACTGTCAGAAGGGTGCGAAAAGGGTACTGGTCACTATAGTGTTACTAAGTTGTAACGATATGGTATCGGTACAGTAACCTCAAAGGAACCCCCCCTGTAGTATCCTTCTAGTCACGGTTTTTAATGCTCCTCGTCGTCTGTGCCAGCTCCTCTATTCCGATCTGAGGCGGAGAAGACGCCGGAAGAGACAAAAGCCGACCTTCTCAATCCGGAGCCTTGGGTTCACCAGAATGTTACTCTAACGTTTCGCCAAGGTTACCCTAAGTTTCCCAATTCGAGGGTAATTGTGACGTTGTTGTGGGGTTTCTATGCGTTTGCCGGCAGGTTACTATAAGGTCACCATAATCCCTACAGTGCTTTGGACAGCGGCGGGAAGACTCAGGTTGCGTCGTCTCATAGCCACAGCACGGTTTTCCGTCAACATGCATATAAAGCAGTATAATATAGTATGGTATAATATAATATTACTATACAAAATAATTGTATTCTAATATGATATATTACGATATCACATATTTCAATATAATATAATTAGCACAATGCAGTATGATACCCAAAAATAATATAGCATCATATATTGTAAAATTACATAATATGTTACAACATAGTATAACATACTATGATATAAGAGGATGAACTGAATAGAATAGAACATAGCATATCCTAACACAAATGTAGTATAGTACACTATAGTATACTAGAACATAATAGAACCTGCTTCAGCAAAATCTAGCATAATATAATATAGCATAACCAGCATAACATAGCACAGCCTAAGACTTAAGATAGCAGTACATGACATATTCCAAATCAATATTGTATTATGTTATGTTATGTTATGTTTTACCATATTTATTGTAACATCGCTGGAGAAGATCAGCCAATGTTCTTGTCTTTCTTTGAATTGGCAGGGAAGCAGGCTCGAAGTGGATAGACTTCACCTGCTGGGCTTCAATCCATCCAAATCCGCCCGAACGCGAAAACCTGAGTCGAGCCGCACGGTGGAGCCAGCAGCAGCACCAAAGCCCCACCAAAGAATCGGAAGCTGTAAGTCCTGAAGCCTAGATGCTAAACCTCGGAACCCCTGAACTTTAAACAGTGAATCCAGACCACTCCCGGGTACCGTTGTTTGAGGATCCTTTTCATCGGGATCACATTTTTTCGTGTTCGTGTTTCGGTCTATTTCTCAACTGGAAAATTCTTGTCAGGGGTGTACGATTTAGAGTTAATCTAGCCGTCCCCGTTTGGTGAAACTCCCAGTTTCTGGACCTGGCGGAAAAAGCTCCGCTCTGAGTCACTGAAGATGTAGCGAATGCTGCTTTAGGCAGCCCCCAAACCCTGGGGGGGTGCTCGAGCATCCATGAAGGAAGCAAGGAAGGAAGGAAGGAAAGAAGGAAAGGAAGCAGCAAGGAGGTCATTAACGAAATGGAATGGGAAGCCAGCCAGCCAGCCAGCTAGCTAGCCAGTGAGTAGGTAAGTAAATAAGTAGGTTTAAGTAAGTAAGTAAACAAATCAGTAAATCTACAAGTATGTCAGTGTGCATGCATGGGCATAGAGACGTAGGTATGCAAGTGTGTATGCATGTATGTATGCATGCATGCATGCATTCCTTCATGCATGCATATGCACTGTGTATGTGTAGGTTGTGATTATGGTGGTTGTGGTGGTGGTGCTGGTGGTGTTGTAGTTGTTGGTGGTGGTTACCGTCGTCGTCGTTGTTGTCGTGGTCGTAGGTATTGTGGTGAGTGCGGTAGTTCGTCATCGTCGTTGTTGTTGTTTTTGGTGGTGGTGGTGGTGGCGGCGGTGGTGGTGGTGCTGGTGGTGGTGCTGGTGGTGGTGGTGGTGGTGGTGGTGGTGGTGACTGGCGGCGGTGGTGTTGTTGGCGGTGGTGGTTGTCCGCATCCATTACCCACCCCTTCCAAAAAAGAGTCGGGTGTGGTACCTTAGGATATGACAGCCAACGACGTGAAGATTGTGCAGAGCATCTTTGACAAGATCCACGAAGAAGAGGAGAAGGAGGCCGCCATCTAGAATTCCAGAGCGAAACGTCGTTGATTCTTGCATCTACTTTCGAAGCGCCACTGACACTGGACACTCGCCAAGAAAAGCCAAAACCTGTGTTGCTTTGTTGTGTGCCCTTGCAACGATGAGGGTTTCGTCCGGCTTGTCTTGCTACCTTGTGGCAAGTGATGACAACCGTATGGGTGCAACGGCAGTTAGCGGATGCTGCCGGGTCGCCAAAACTGTGTCCTTTTTGTTTCTTCCATGATGCAGAGCAGCTTTTTGTCTTGAGCCCCCCGCGTGCAGGCCGAGGATGGAAAGCCCGCCAAAGGAAGCGCTCAGGAGGCAAGTGCAGCGGCTGTGCCTACTGCAGAAGAAAGGTCGGCCGGGGATGTGATTGTCGGGGTCTTCTTGCTGCTCTTCGGCTTCGGCTGCGTCGGGTTCTGCGTCTACTACTGGTCGGCGGCATCCAAGCGAGTGAAGCAGAGACTACAAACTGCAGCCTCCAAACGGCTCATGAAGCGTGGCAAGGAGGGGGACACCCAGCTGTATGTCACCAGCATTGAAGGTCTCCAGGCAGGTGAGCAAGTTGTCCTCGGCAAGGAGACGGTCACCGTCGAGAGCGTAGCCTTTGTTGTCACCATTAGTGATGGGTTGGCAGATGCATGTAAGTCTGGGGATGCCGTTGTCAAGACTCCCGATTCTGAAAGTGCAGATCAGAAACCTGCCCTGGTCAAAGATGCGGCTGCAGGCGACAAAGAGCTTGTCGTAAGCAGCGCTCTTGTTGCGAAGAAGGGCGACAGGCTCAAGATCGGCGCTGCAGCCCAGGAGTTGACAGTGAAGTCGGTAGCCAAGACCGTGATGGTGACCCCAGAATTGAAGACAGCACACGCGATAGGCACCAAGTTGCGCAAGCCGGGCGAGCCGGAGAAGGATGCAGACAAAGACGAGGCAGCGGCAGAGACGGCAGAGGAGACGGCAGAAGGCGACGAGACTGCTGAGGAGAAGCCACAGGATCTGCCGCCAGCCAGCTCGCAAGACTGAGACGCGACGGATTCATCGGCGTGTGCGTCCTGAGAGACACCGCGCAGTTTCCTGGCTCGGTGCAAAGCACGCGGCCAACTTGGGACTAGGGCGGATGGATGCACTCCGCATGCCTGGGCAGAAGCAGATTCCACATTGTCCAAAACGCATTTTGCCACGCTCTTCTTGCCTGCGAGGTTTACATGACATGCTCTGAATACGTTGATGTGTGAGACTAGGTCGCTGCCATCTCCTGCCGTGCTGTGTGCAGCGCCGAGGAGCGACGGAAGTTCCATGGTCTTGGGCGGGGGCCCCTGCAACAGGGATGACCTTCTTCCCACGGCCTAGGCTTGGGGGGCTTGCTGGCCATGTGGTGCACTGAGTGGGGCAGCTCTCCACCACGGTTGAGTGAAAAAGTCAGGGTGAACTCTTGTGAAGTTTTAGTGCTTTCCATTTGCGCGCGCCGCACCTCTTGCCTCTCCGCTTGTCTTTGAGTTCCTCTTTTCAGGTGCCCGCTCGACGAACCTCTGTGCAGTTCTTGCTTGCAATGTCTTGTATTGCTCTCTTCGCCTTGTGCACGATGCGCTGTCTTGGCCGTCTTGGCCCTTGCTGGCTTCTTGGCCTAAAAAGGCAAGCAGCAGACAAAGTGCTGCAATTCGGGCAAGCCATGGCTTGCTGCTTGAACTATCTTGAACTGCTATTGATAGATTTGGCAGTACCGTATCCAGGAGTAGCAGGCGCCGTGCATCGAAGCATCTCGTGTTTTTTTGTTTTCTCTCGCTCCCTCTCTCTCTGTGGCGGCTTCTCTTATCATGTCTGAGAGTAAGCTAGCCGCAGCTAGCCCATCGTCCTGTGGGTTGCCGTTGTGTGTAGGAAACTTCTGTGCCGCATGCAAGTACCCCGCGCTGTCCTGTGCGACGTGACCATGTGCAGCGAAGCATAACCTCTCGTCGCGAGACTTTTTCAAGGTAGTGGATGGTCCAGTGGAAAACAGTACGCAGACCGACATACAGTCCCAGCCGCTGTGCAGACACTTGGACTGCTACAGAACCAGACAATAGCTGCAATGTATGGAGCTTTGAATAGTTTTCAAATAACTAGTGACATAGTGAGTCCAATGTGCTTCCGCAGAGCTCGACTTCGGCTGCAGGCAGCTTCTGGCACAGCAAAGTGATTGTGCATTTTTGATTGCTGCATTGTCACGACGGCCGGAAGACTGGTGGTACCCCTGTACCAGGCGCTTGCAGCCGCGGTGGCCGCGCCCTGTCCTGAGTGGGGCGGCATGCAGCTGTCCACAACCACTCTGAGATGTGCGGGGCTAATCTCCTGCTCTCAGGACCTCCTGCTGGGGAGTGTTGAGCCAGGCCCCATCTCTCGCTCCGAAAAACTCTGTTTGAAGCACCTCGGGACTGCTTGTGCCAGGCATGGCTTCTGCCACAGGCTGGGAAAAGCAGTGCTGCGCAATGCCGAAGTTGCTGAAAGCTGCGCGAGGCACCTGCCGGCCGCCGTGAAGTCCTCGGCGCGGGCTTGGCAGGCCCTGCAGAGCAACGCGGGTGGATGGATTGGTGCAGTGCACCGGCTGCCAGGCCTGGGCTTGGCGATAGAGGCGCGGCGCGGCCCGGTAGGCGGAGGCGGCCCTGCATGCCAGCACACGTGGAGGCTGAGCCGGCTTTGGCAAGCGGCGGATCAACGGCTGCGACCTCGGTTTGGCACAACGTGGCCATGCCGTGCTTGGACAGTGACAGAGGCCGGCAAATACTCCACGATCCCGTCGGGGAAGCGGAGGCAGACTGGAAGTCCTGACAGCATGTCGCGGTTGGCTGCACAGACTGAGGTTCTATGGGCGCGTGAAGCAAGGCCTCTATCAGCCCACGGCTCAAGCCAGGGAGGACAGAGGCACACGGCAGGTGTCCCAGCGTGGCGACTGTGAGGTACCTAAAAATGGAGCCGGCCATCAAGGCTGGGAACTTGCAGGCCCGGCTTTCGAGCGAATTCCTAGCTCTCCGGAGCCGGGCGCTGCCAAAAGGCACCGGAGATCGAGGATTTCTTCAGTCTGGATCCTGGCAGGCTGATGTTCCGGGAGGTTTGTCAGTCTTTGCAGACTGAGGCAAGAACATCATCAAAGTGAAGGGCGGGCAAGACATAAAGAATTGTGGTCGGATTCTCGTGAAAGTCAGAATGTTAACCGCAAGCTGACAGCGTTGGGTTTAGGGTTTTAGGGTTTCCAGACCGGTGCGTCTGGTGCAACGCTGCCGCCCGCCGGGTTCAAAGCCACGCACTCGAGCTTTGTCGAGTAAGGCTTCGGCGGAAAGTGCAAGACCAAGGAGAAGAGGCTCATCTCCGTTGATTCGTGGAGCCCAGAAAAGCTGTAGCCCAAGACATGTAGAGCAAGACGAGAAGCATCCCGTCGGATGCCTCAATCTTTGGGGTTGGGACTCACGGGAACATGGGAGAGCGCGAAGAGGACGTCGCGATGGCTGGATTTCAAGACGGCCACCGACCTTCTCGCTGCCCGCTGAAACATGTCCCGTTTGCTTCTCCCCCTATTCCTGGCGTCCTAGCGAGAGATTCGACTTCTGCTGAGGGTGGGGCCTTTCGCTACAGCGCTGGCGACATTCCGGATTACTTGCCGCAGGCCTCGGAGCTCTAGAGCCGTCAGCTTCCCCCCAAAGTGGGCTTCTCTTCTCATTCCCTATTGCCGCGGTATCAGCAAGACTGGTGCAGACATGTTCCCTAAATGTGCAAGCAGCCAAAAAGGCATCACAGGTGTCAGGTGTTGAGGGTTTGTGAGTTTTCTTCCCGCTCTCTTCAAACCTCCGGTGGGCCGAGGGCATCAGCGCTAGTGCCTGAAAAGGTGGCGGTTTGGGAGTTTTCCCTCGGCTGAGAGTATGACTGCCGAGCCGCCATTTGTCCTAGCTGCTGATGAGGATGTCACTTTGCATGTGATATGCCACCATCCTTGCATGTAATTTCAACCGCTGCGCAGATGCCTTGAAGCCCACTCTAAATCCCGAGCGGTTTGCAGGAAGTTGCAGTACTCACCGTGCGAGAGCTGCATGTGCGGTCTGCGTTCAGGGATTTAGGCTTGTACTTTTGTTTGGGTGGGTCGTGGGAGAAGTGTGTGTGTGTGTGTGTCTCTCTCTCTCTCTCTGCCTGTGAGTGTGTGAGTGTGCTTTGGTGGGTTTTCTGGCATGGGCCCTTTGTTTGGTAGTACGACGCTGGGAGACTCGCATCTCCGCCCTCTCTGCGGCTCTCTTCCTGTTGTGCTCAGTTCCACGACAATGGACTTAGGACTTTTAACTACTTGCAGCTTGCCGAATTGCAAGGTTTATGT